TGCTGGCATTTATCTATGCATGTGAACTGCAGGACTCAAAGTTCCTGTTACCTCAGCTGAGTAGAATGCCATTTTAAAGCATATGCTTACTGAGAGCTGTGGGTTCCTCAGTTTTTATATGCCTTAAATGCCTGACCAGATAGGCAAGCATCTGAATTTCCTGCTTTTAAGGTAATCCTTGAGATTATGTCATTTTAAAGCTCCAAGAAAGCATGCAATGTGTTGTCATGGAAGGACATTGTTCTGCACCACTTTCTGCAAGGATCTGTTCCTGAGTTACTTGCGTGTTCTGAGATCTTGGAGAAGTTTCTTAATTCTGCACTTCTTCCACCCACTGTTGTGTTCTGTGCTTACAAGATATCGTTTGCAAAGTGCTGTGTTAGGTTTTAGCAGTACAGAGACGACTCAGGAGGGAAAGTGCCAGTGTTGTTGCTGCTGTTCACAAACACAACTTTCCTTTAGTAACTGAGGCAGACTTCAGCGCACTGTGTAGTGATCCTTCCTTCTCAGGATCTACAATGTAGGAACTTTCAAAATGTGCAGCTTGCTCACTAATTTTAAGGGCTGCTGACCACAGGTCCTGCTGTCAGTCTGTGACTTACATTGGGTCAAGAATGAGGTTTAAATTTTCTGACACTTGTTTAGTTCATTTTGTTATTACTTTTTAAACCTGTTTTAATGCTTTGCTGTGATGATCAGTGGATTTCCTTGGAGCACTGATGACAGGATGCTGTTTAAATGCCACCTCCCACCCCCTTGTTTTCCAGTGATTTAGTGGCTTTTGAGATTATCAAGCTGCTTGTGCTACCACTCCCCTCTCCTTAGTCTGGGGGAGTGAAGTGCTCCTTCTCTTTCTCTGACAGATTTCTCTTTCCATCCAGCTGAGTTTAGTGGAATCTCGGGAACTTCTGCTTTATGTCCCCAGTGATTATAGTGGACTCTGCTGACCTATTTGTTTTGTTCCTTCTTCCACAAACAGTTGGTAACTTTTACCTCAGGCCTACTATAAGTAATGGCGTGCAGATAGATTTTATTTTTGCTTTTCTTAGGTTCACCCTAGATTATGGAGTTTCTCCCACCCCAATATTCAGGTTCTGCAATCACAAAACACCTGCCCTTCAAATGAGAGTGGGAATCAACCCAGACAGTAGTTGTCTGATACTGGGAAGCCTGGAGAATGCTGATGTCACTTGATCTGTCTGTGTGAAGCTCATTTTCATGGTCAAGATATCGAAGTGAGACTGGCTTTCCTATGAAGTAAGTAGACAGGGAGCTATGAATTCTGCAAGTAATGAGTTAGGTAGAAAGTTGCTTGTCATCCCTGCATAATTACCAACAGTTTAAAAGTTGTCTGTCTGGCAGAAAAGATGAGCCCACTTTGTGCAGCTGCGTGAGGGCTACCAGGCAGGCAGTGACCTGTGGCTGGGCAGGTGAAATGTAATACCAGAGCCCACTTAAAGTGTGGGAGTGTTGTAGGAACTCGGGGCTAGGACCAAGCTGCAGCAAAGCCGTATGGATATCCATGCAGCATCCATTCTGGGATGACCACAGACTAGAGTGCTGTTCTGTATGCCAAAACA